AATCTTTAAAAGTGGTTCAGTTATCATACACTCGTTGCAAATGCATAGACGAGAGAGAGAGAGAGAGAGAGAGAGAGAGAGACCCCAAAAATATAAGACCAACAAAATTAATGTCAATTAAGAAGTAATTTTCATGATTTTAATTGACATTAAATACCATTTTTTAGATGTCAAACGAAAGGCACACAAATAAATAAAATACTCAAAACTGTTTCTCTAAACCGATATTTAGGGCCAAATTTTTTTTGCTCTTTATTTCGCTTATAGTTTGCGTTTTGAATTAAATTCTTGTTTTAATGTAATTCTTGTAATGAATTCTCGTATTTGTATTTATTTTTATGATGAAGTGATTTCTGATACACATCTCTATAGCCGATGATTGAACGATCACTATCTGGTGGACGGCCTAAAACACCGGCGAATATCTGTGTATTTAGTATACATTCGTATATAAATAGTCATAGCCTGTGGTCTCTCTCTCTCTCTCTCTCTCTCTCTCTCTAACACTCGACTCAATGATGACTGAATGCCACACAAAAACTCTTTTATCTATTTTATCTCTAATACTATTTACATAAATATCTTTTTTTGTGACACAAATATGTATAGAAAAATATTCATTGGATTAAGGATTTATAATATTTTCTGTCAACGATTGCAAAATTAATTGTTTGTTTTGATTTAAAGTCAACAAACTTATCGTTTCATAATATATCTGAAAATAGCATTTATTATTCACAAAAAAAATTTATAAGAATTTTTCATCAGTTTTTGTGTTTTATTTGTTTTTTTCAATCAATTATTTTTACAAATTAGAAAATAGTTTTTCGGACAAAAAACTTATTTCGTTAACTAGTTTTAAATCAAATTAATATTTAATTTTTCCTTTTTCTTGACTTCATTCCACACTTTTCTATAGAAAAATATTTAACTTTTTTATTGACTAATAATTACATTGAAAATACATTTGAAAATTTGTTAGACAATTTTTTCACATCTAATAATTTGATTATCAAGTCTTATCTCACTATTAGATTAGATATACATTTGTCGTTCACTTGTATTCATTAGTGAACATTGATTTTAAAGGTATATAAATTGATTATTAAATAAATTTAATTAATAATAAGATTTATGTACCAATTTTCAAGTCTATATTTACTTTATGTTAGATTAAATTCAAATCTCAAAAATCTTATTAATATTAAAACACAAATTTTTACAAACGTTATGTGGATAGAGATAATCAATTTATAATACACAGTAGATTCACATATGAAATATTATTTTTTAAAACGAGATTAAATCTGATATTAATGTATCATTCATATGAAAAGCGACTATAAATCTCTGAATACCATGAAACTGATTATACGGTATATAACACTGTATTTATGGTCTCATTACCAGTGTTTTAGATAACATTTATACGAAACATTGCATTCATTACCACTTAATTTGTGTATCTTTTACTGTATGAGAGATTTTGATATCGCAAAAAATATTTCTCTCTTCAACTTATCAGTAGTTTCAAAGTATGTGTCAAAAAATTATATTTTCAATTCTCATGGCTAAGTTTAGAGTTCCGATTGTATTTATAGTATCAATGTATAAAATCTATGATTTTCCAAAATATCATACATGCATTGAATTTAGATATTAGTAAATAGGAGGTAAGTATTCACACATTAATAGCTGAGAGATAACACAGTTTTATGTTTTGTGAGAAAATATTTTTTTCGTGAATTCTCTTGTTTTAAATGATTAGCAAAAAACAGTTAGTCTTCAAAAACACTACAAAAAAGTTATATTTAAATGTGTTTATCGTTTCACTCAACAAAAAATATTTTGTCCCACTTTTATCACGTGAGAGAGAGAGAGAGAGAGAGAAAGAGAGAGAGAGAGAGAGACTGTCTGTCATACAATTTCTTAAGAATTACAATCAAATAATAATAATAATAATAACAAAAGTTTTTGTCTCATATATACTGTTATTAAATAATAACATCACAATCAAATCAAATTAATTTCTATTTTAATCCTAATGTCAGACTTAATAATAAAGTATTATTTATATACTGTTTTTGAAATTTGAAAAAACAATGTCACTGTCATAGTGAATTAAAATATTAAACACATTTTAAACGATATTATTATTTAATATAAAGTTTTAAATTGAAAAGAAAATATTACTTAATTATGTATAAAAATATTATTTTTTGTATTCAAATAAAAATCCCCAGTTATTAATAATATTTATTATGCACACAAAAAACAAAATATAAATCTCTAGTTAAGGATTAATATATAATTTTTCTATTAAAATATTAATTGAATGAACATAAAAACTATTACTTTATTAATATAGCGATAGTTTTATATAATTTTAAAGCAAAAAGTTTTTTAATTTATTTAACGTGAAATAAATTTTTTAAATGAAATTAGTTCTCAATTTTTTTGCGATATAATTACTGATTTTTAGCTATAATTTCGGAGTATTTTACTAATAAATGGTTTATCAATAGGGAGTGAAAAATAATTATTGAAAAATCTATCAAAAATAAATTATAATCTAAGTGTGGATTGAATTTTATTTTACTGAAAGGTTTTAATGAATTTCTTTTACGAGTCGTTCAGTTCGTTGAACCAATTGATGGCAAAAACGGTTTTTTATAATTTTATTGAAAACTTCAAAATCACTCTTAATATGAGAGAAACAACACTATAATTATGACAACGACTCGAATGACTAAACCATTGCTTTGAATACAAAATGCTTTCATAAATAAAATCTCGAGTTTTCTAATCACACGATAAGTTTGTGTAATATATTTCAAGTTAAATATGACTTTAAATTTGAAAACACGATATATTTGATATAGTATCAGATATTTGGCAATAAGTATATCAGGTTTGCACGGGTATAGTGTACTTAATTCTCATATGATATCCAATATTATAGTGAATCCACGTTTAGTAACACAAAAAACTAATTACAAACCAATACATCAAACAAAAACCTTTTTCACCAAATTATACGTACGATCGGATCGACACATACATCGGATACTATCTACTCATCTATTCATGAGATTATATCTACTTATTTGAGATTCATATTAGAAAATGCCTTTGAATTGTATTTTGATTGCGATTTTCTTACCACACATTTGTGTCTCAAATCTCTCTCTCTCTCTCTCTCTCTCTCTCGGAATCACTCGTTTCAGCCGCTAATCAAATGCTAATCAATTTGTATTTGTTATTAGAGGTCAAGGGTTTAGGGCTTTTAAAAAAGGCTGTGAGTCTGAAGGCTATGTTACTATATATCCAATCAATGCTTCAATTTTACTCTAATTATGTAATAATATTAGCAAAATATATTATTTATAGCATTATATTATATTCTGTATAGATTTATATATTGTATAAATTTATAAGAATAGATAAATGATTGCAAAGTATTTATATAAATTAGATTTGGATTTGCAATATGTATCTGAAATCGAGTTATAATTTTTGTAATATGTTTTACATTTTATTACTTATATTGAGATAAAAACTAAATATTATTTAAATTTTTCGTATCAAAAGAGGATTTTAATGCAAAAATTATGTAATCATTTGGTGTTTAAAGTATCGCTAATCTTCTCAATAAATTTAACATAATTTTGCTTATTTTGTATCAATACTTAAAGTGTATTTAGTTTTAAATTACATTTTTATTATTATATTTGGTGATAATCTGGGCATATAATTTAAATTAAGTTTTTTGAAAAATTAATTCAGAGCTTAAGATATCATATTTTAATAAATATAATCTTGATTTTTAATATTGTTTTTATTATATTTATTTTTAGGTAATACTAAATTGATTTTTTGTTTGTATTTACTGTAACTAAAATGTAAACCCTTATTAAATTTAAACTTCATTTAGGATATTATATTTTAATCAAGATCATAAATTATAAAATATAATTCTCTCATTGGATATACTACCAAGGTAATTTTGGATCCATTTTTTAATTAACATTAAATTATTAAAATATTTTAAATTACAGTTCTGTGTAATTATCAATATGAATTACATTATAAATATTTAAAGTGAGTATCTAAAAAAATTATTTAGCATACATTTAGAAAGTTTTTAAAAATTTTGAAAATTTACTTTGACTAAATTAAACTTTGTAGGTTTTGATTAAGATTTATAAAATCTATACTTTTGTGGAAATTATTTATTTTCAAGATTATGTAATTATATATTTTAATGTTAAACTTGTCTGATAAACAATATATTATAATACACAATTATTAAACAATAATTAATATACTAATAGTACAGTACATTGAAATATTTAACATTGTTTATCCAAACTATAATTTATTTTACCGAATATATTAGCTTATTGCTTTACCTGTCATATTAGTAAAATCTCTACATTTATCAAATACTATTGTAATATTTATTTACAAAGTGTGTAAATATAAATTGTTAAATGAATATTTATAGTCAAGATAAAGTGAAACCTTGTAATCAACCAAATCCTCTTCATAGATAAACTGATAAAAATAAATAATAACAATAAATACACATATTTTACATATAAAACAAAGTGACAAATGAAGGCTTTAATTATCAAAAGGTATTCAATATTTAGTATTTTGAAAGCCTTGAGTAAAAACTAATAAAAAAACTTTTATACACATTAAGTAAATGAATGGAAAAATACGCGCAAACGTTATCTAACATTGAATTTATTTTATATATATAAATTTATTATTAACAGTGTTATTGTTTATTATATATTATATACTATATAATGAATAATTAAAATATAAAAACTATTATTAGTATGAAGTTATAAATCAACGATAAATTGAATGAATAAAACAATGGTAGAGATAAGGGTGTAATAAAACATTTATTATTTATATTAATTAATGTATTTAAATAGCATGAATATTAAAACTATCTAGATAATTAACAGTCAATCATATCTCGTTTGCATTCATTTCCCACTCATATTCGCCGCAAAAGCCGTTGAGTATGGGTTGGGCGGGTATACCCCTCCTAAGCATACGGCACCTGACGTACAAAAAAAATTGCAATTAATGTCATAATTAACAAAATATATGCCAATATTTATGTCAATCAGTAGACATACCGGTGCTGATCGAGTCTGAATTTGGCGCTTTCGATGTCATTGGTGTGGTTGGGGTCGGACCAGAGTCTCTCGGCTACAGCCGATGCTCGCGGCCTACAAATGGGAACTCATATGAAAATTATTTGTATAATCGTATGAATAGGGAGAGACTGACCAGAGTCTGGCCAACAGGTTAGTGCCGTCGACATACTCGCCCCACATGCAGGCCTCCCCTCCCAATACCAGTGCCTTTTCCGAGTCATCGGCTATTCAATAGACAAACAGAAATAGAAATTAAAATGATTTTTTTAATTATCTGTTTAATAGTACCTAAACTTTTGGTGGGGTCGCACCGGTAGTACTTCTCCCAGTCCTGGCCGTAGGATATGTAGTTGAGGTACCAACAGGCGCTCACTATTACTTTATAGCCTTAACATTGGTGATTTAAAGATACAATTAATAATTGTCTACTACTTGTCCATTGAGTGGTACAGACCCTGTCCCACAATACGCTGAACACTGGCTTTCCAGCTGTCATTTTGAGAGGTCGGGTGTCGATACCGTTCCTTCCATACCATTACGAGGGTATCGTTGGCTAACTATATATATGAAAACCATATTAATTAAGACTATAGCGAAAGGGATGGTCTGTGGGACAGGGATGGCGCACCTGAACCCCGTTGTCGATGGGGTCCTGCCACACGATATTCTTAAAGCCAATGTCTTTGATGGTGTCGATCATCCTTTCCGTGTAGTACTGTTCCACTTGCGATAGTTCAGTGAACGTGTGGTTGATCATGAACTGCCACACCTGGGGGTTAGACCTCCAGCAGTCGTAGTAGACCTCATCCATGCCTAAGTGCACGTATTGGTCGCGAAACAGATCCCGGACCTCTCGGAAAAACACTTTCATGAAGTCGTATGTGTAGTTTTGCATGGGGTTCAGGATCTCGGCCTCTGCGTGCTTGTTCAATTTGGCTGTGAATGGTTTGTCATCCCCGTCCCCGTAGCACGTGGTCAGTAGCTGCGGGAATGCCTTCCCGAAGCCCTGGGTGTGACCTAACGGGCAGCCAGTGATGTGTTTATTATGTATGAAATTATGTGACAAAAATAATTTTTGTGATAATTTATATGAATAGTAAGTTTACGTATTAATTAGAATTGATTTTCGATACCAAAGTTATTAATAAACTTATGATTTATATTTTAGTCAAATATTTTATTTTTTGTTTTTGCTTGAGTAATTATAAAAAACAAGAAAAATATTTCTAAATATTAATTACTTGAGTACACATAGAGTAGTAATCATAGAAATGATTTTTCACGTGCAGCCCATGTTTGGACGGGTATATTAATGGTGGCTATATTTGGAGATTTATTTCTTTTTATCATCATATAATTTATAACTATTATAACTCTATATTTGCAAACCGAAGGTTAAGACTAACTAATGATTTATGAAAATTGTTTGCAAATTATCTGCTCATTTGAATGAATTTTTATTTTTATCTTAACTATTAAATACAATGTAAATAACAAACAAAATAAAAAGTATGATATTTCATAATAGTGTAAAATTTTATGTATATGATATTTACCTATCGATATATTACCAGCATTTAGATGCCTTTCATTCACAAACTTCATAAAGTAAACTGACATAATAGTGTATTTCCCTATTACTCCGACACACATATCAATGTCTATTAATGTCTACATATTGGATAAGTATAGCTATTGTTAAGTCATAATCGGCTAAACATATCTCACAAACAAATCCCTTATAACCACTCATCCCATTAGAAACGGTTCTCAACTAACATATCATTCATATCACAAAATTCATACACTATTCATACGAATGCATACTAATTACATGGGAAAAAGTCCATACATACCCGGGGTATCGAACTCAGGTATGACACGAATGCCCCGATACCTGGCGTACTCGATGATCTCCTGGATGTCTGTCTGAGTGTACACATGTCTCGAGCTATAGGCGCCCTTTTGGGTCAACTCCGGGAATATTTTGCTCTCAAACGGGAACGACTGGTCGTCCACAATATGCCAGTGAAACACATTGAACTTATTGTAGGACATGGCGTCCAGATTGGCCAGGATGACATTCTTGGGTAAAAAGTGTCGACTACTGTCCAACATAACGCCCCGGAATGAAAACCGCGGCCAATCCGTGATACGGGTGGCGTTCACCACGAGCTCCCTGTCCTCATTCACGTATATCAACTGACTTAAGGTCTCCAGCGCTCGGATGGCGCCCCATATGGTGTCGGCCCGTATGCGGCCATTAATGGACGACTGGAAAGGTATGGCGATCTCGTAGTACTCGTTGTCGTTGTTTTGCGGGTAAATGGTGTTGCAGTCGGATATGGAGTCTATCTGGAGGTGAATACTCCGGAGGCTTAATAGGGAGCTATTGTGGCGCTTATTGTCGTCAATGGCTTTGAATATGGAGTTAAACTCGTCGGACAGTCGGGACAGACCCTCCGCAACGATCGTACAGTTCTCGGCATTACTGGTGATGAAGAACACCTTCGGGTCTAATAGGTAGGGGTACGTCGACTTTGTCCACACCTGGGGCAGTGGCCAGGGAGAGCCAGGGGGTGCCGCCTCGCCCTTGGAGTTGGTCAGTTCTCGGCATTACTGGTGATGAAGAACACCTTCGGGTCTAATAGGTAGGGGTACGTCGACTTTGTCCACACCTGGGGCAGTGGCCAGGGAGAGCCAGGGGGTGCCGCCTCGCCCTTGGAGTTGGAAATAAAAATTGAAATTTTTTTATCAATAAATGGATTATAAAACAAATAATTTATTTAAATATATGGAAAATTGAAGTTATTTTTACCACAAGTGGATACTTGGACTCAATATACGTGATAAAAGCATTTGATTTATAAATAGTCGAAATTAAAAGTAATAATATAAGGAAAATAGAGTTCATTATAACTGCAGTGAGAGTTGAATAGGAGTTTCATTTACGACACACACTATTGAGTGAAACAATAATAAAAAAGTTGAGAAAACTTTGACAACTATTTTTCACTATTGAATCCCAAACACTCAACATTCAGTACTCAATGACTCTTTTGGTTAACAATTAATTAGCGAAACAAATAAAATCTCGTTTTTTCCATAAACCGTACGAAAAACCTCTACTTTCTTATTGTTTGCGTTGAAAATAAAACTACTTTTGAGAAAACTGTGTGTAAAAAGCATGTGAAGCAATGAAATCGCACTCTCAATCGCACAGGTAGTGAAGGACAGGGATGTATGTGATGTCCTTTTTAATTTTTATTTCTCTTTAGTGTTTATTCTTTTTGCTTATATTTTGATAATTTTATTCAAAATGAAAATATACTTCAAATGA